ATTTTTGCTCAACCAGCCAATAGCAACGGTTTTGTCCAATTTCCCATCCATGACTTTAACAATAGGACATTTTGAACATTCCTATTGGTTGACTTGAGAAAAATACAATACGCACGTGACGATGAAAGACCACATTTTTGCATAAACCTGAACAACATACCGTAGATAATGAGGTTTATTGTGATTTTATTGTAATGCTAACGAGTTTCCAAACCATTTCCTCTATTAACTATGGAGCAACCGATATATTTTTCAGTTGGAATTAGGGTAAATTTACAATCAGGTCAGTGTAAGGCCTTCGTTTGTTGACACACTAAGAAAGTTATAAACGGTGAGGTATTAACTGGGACAAAAGTCCTGTTCTTCATCCCAGTCACATATAGATCATCGTCAAATTTCAGTATGCGAGGTATTTTGCTAAAATTGCTTGTTTTTCACCTTAATTTTCTCATATATACAGGTTGTGCCAATAAAATATGACTAGGTCAGAAGATGTGCTTTTCTTTCTAGTTTTTGCAAATAGAATGTAAACTCGCCTAAAAAATGAAGAAAGTACTCAATTTTGGCAAATTTCATGTGAAAGTGTAACTTATACGAAAAAGGCGACTCGGAAAATGAGCATCAGAATGAACATTTTGCCCTGTATTTTGCTATAATCGTTTTGAAATATTTTTCAAAGATTAAAGATAAATAGATTTTCAAAGTATTGGGAAAACATATGAACATAGCAATCAGGTTTTTCTATGACTATGTCTATGACCCTCATTTCGAAGCGTAAACTTTGTATTATTTTTAAACACAATTTTCACTCGTTCAAAAATCCTATAAACACGAATTTTGTCATGTTACAGGTTGTGCCAACGAAATATCGCTGTTTTACATTAAATTTCAAAGCATTTTTAAGTCGGATTAAATTTCTTGACTTTGTAAAAAATGACAAAGTTTTAGTATTTTTGGTTTGAATTTCACGTTTATTCAAGCTATCAGACGACATTTGAAAAGGAAATTTTTTGCTCTGTTTGGTTTTGCACTGAAATAATCGATATTAATATAGTTTACATTGTAAAATATGTGGCAATATAGGAAATCAAAGTATTACTGCAACATTTTTTGTCAGTGAATCCAATTTTTGTGGTGATTTGTGGGCCGAAACAGCCGCTGCAAAATTGGCTTTCGAAGGCTTCGTTCATGCTGTTTGTTTTTTTTAAATCAACCAAGTGGAAGCACACATACTTGTTCTCCCGCTAAAAACCCGAGCAATTTTCGCGCATGCTCAGTCAATTTTCCCACCTGTTCGATGTGCATTTATCCATCGTCGTCCCCAGGGCCTCTCAGCCGCGCGTCCTCTCTACACGGAACCGGAAGTGCAAGAAAACTTGCAGTAGTTTCTACAGCGCATGCTCGTGCATTGGGTACTTATTAGCACCAGTAACAATTTTCACAGTGAAGTATTACGAAGAAACGAAGTATTTGTGTTGACATAGTTGATAGAATAATTTTCCCTAGCGAAAACTGCTCAACTTCTGCGAACTAGCAGCTCTTTGAGAAACCAATCAGATCTCTCCCTTTAGTCGTCTTACCCAGAGACTAATTTTGAACGTAAAAATGGCTCTGGGGACGAGAATGAGCTTTTTCTAATGAGAGAATATATGAAATATTTTACCATTTACAACTTGGAGGTGTGGCGTTTAAACTCTATTTTAAAAAAACCATTAGGAGACATATAAAACATGTTAACGATCTCGTTCTCCCAATTTTTGACTATACTGACTTGATATGGGATGACACAGAAAATGATACATTGATGGCAAAATTACATTTTGTAAAATACGGCTACCAAACTAATTTAAATTAGATTTGACTGCATGAACTAAATAAATTTAAGTCAAACGTTTCTTAAACACATTTTACATTTGCATGCATAGATCGTTGTATTTTTTTATATTTATAGTATTTGATTCAATATATTAGGATTTTAATAGTAATTCTTATTGTAAATAATATAAGTTACTGAAAACAATATCATTTATGCCATAGTCTTAGTTGCTGGCTTGCTGCCTTTTCCATGCATTGCGTCCTTTTCGGTAACCTAATTTTTCTTAAACCAATTACAGCTCTCTCAGAAGCATCACGAACCAATGGCGTGTAATTTACCCAAATATTTTGTTCTTTATAGACTATAGACTATAGACCATGGATCACACATCAAATGGCGTGTAAAAAGCCCAGTTCGTTGAGATTTTTCAACTTTCTTCATTATTTATTTCTTTCTTGTGTAAAACAAATTCTACAGATATCATTTTGTCGTCGCATGTTTAATTACAGTAGATAAATAGTAAACACAAGAGGATATAACGTGGTAGAAACGAGGAAAAATGCTCGCGACGGCAAAATGTTATCTATACAGTATTTGCTTATATAACAAAAACGAAAACACGACGAAAAACTATTTGCACGCAGAACTGGCTCGTGCAGCATGGTACTTCAGAGACAGCTGAGATTGGCTTAACAATATTACTATAACGTCTGTGAAATGGCGTCAATCTAGCGTCTGTCCTCTAATAAACCATAGCTCTCAACCAGTAAAAAACTCAGATAATTATATAAACTTACATGGACATACAACCATTTATTCTATTTGTTATCTTGCTGTTGAAACGTTTCTTTCAGAGCGATTTAAGTATTTCATGTATCAGTGGTGAGAAATTTCCTTAATTTTGTTAAATTCAGATTCCGATAAGAATTTGCTTAGTTGTTTAAACTCCATTGCTTTTTTAGCATATTCCACGGCATTTTTGGAATACTTTTGTACTGAATGGTGTGCGAGAGCCAACGATGTGTAAACCTTTGCTTTGCAATCATTTGGGTTGTCGTTTTTAGCAAGTTTATCGGCCATGTCGCGAGCTCTTTCTAGTATTTCAATAGCCTCACTTGCACAATTGCGAAACATTTTACATCTCCCAAGGTTGTTAAGTAAATAAACGTGTTTTTCACTAGCGTCAAGGCCTAAATCTTCACGTATTTTTTTGGCGATCGCATACATTTCCTCGGCCTGGTCGTTAGAATTTCGCATAATTAGGAATTGATCTCCAAACGTTTTGTAACACGCAGACGTAAGTTCGTGCTCACCTAGTTCGTTTTCGGACAATTGTATAGCACGTTCGTAATACTGTCGTGCTTTTCCATTAAATTCGTCACACGCCTCTGTATGATGACGTCTATGTTCCATGGAGGCAATTTTCTTCCATATGTTTCCAAGTTGCAACAACGAGAAAACTTCATCTGCTTTCCCTGCGGACGTGTCAGACATGTCTAGCAAGGTTTTCCTTAAATCCAGAGACTTTTCCAACTGTTCACGAGCTTTATTGAGCAAATCTATTCTTCGTTCAGTGGGACGGTCTTTACATTTACACGACAAGTAACGCCCGTTCTGGTAATAAAAATAAGCACAAAGTGCCGTGTGTTGCTTTACAACTTCGACGTGCGTTTGAAACTCTCTTTCGATTGCTTCCATCGTCTTAAAATACTCATCAAATTTCCCATTCCCAATCGATTTGCTGCGTTCTTGGTCTGCTATCAAACAATCAAAATTTACTTTGATTGCATATTGCTTCTTTTCTTCTGCCAGGTTTGCGCATCGTTGTAGGAACTCGTCGACAATTGACCCAGGGATAATGGTTCTAACAAAGATGGTAAAGAATCTGGCAAAGGTGGTGTAAATTTTACTGCGCTCAAGACAGTCCGAGATGTCGAAGGTTGTATGATTCTGCTGACAACAAATTTTAAGGACGTTCTGGATGTTGTGCGCTTCCTTCTTTAGAGCTTCTCTGTTAGCTTTGTATCCGTTTTTAGAGTAACTCTTCATGGTTAAATCGTGCCCTAAGTTTAGGTAGTATTCGACCATCAATACTTCTGCACGCGCTTTTTCTGCTGTCCCTCTCTCCCCCTTCAGTTGATTACGTAAAAAATGCTTGATCAAGACATGAATGGAATATCGGTATTCGGTTGGTTGTTTAATCAAGCTGCGGCAAACAAAATTCTTCAAGATAGAATTTGTATCTAAAGTCTCTTTCTCGATCACGGCTCCAGCGGCTTCTTCACTGAAGCTCCCGTCAAAAACTGCCAAACGGACAAAATCATTTTTCTGCTCATCATCTAACATTTCATAAGACATATTAATTGCTCGACAGACGTGCCGATCACTCTTAGGACATTCCAAAGTCTCCATTGGTTGCTTTTGTAAGTACTCTAAAAATTCATCAGAGTTTTTGAAGTCTTTAACTCTGGAGCCTGCGACGCACATAGCAAGAGGTACTTTGCCACATAGTTCAGCCAATCTTCGCAAAACTTCGTCATCCTGTTCAGGACATTCTTTTCTCAAAAGTTCCATAGATGCTTCGACGTCCATCTCCCCAACATCAACAGTATCCACTGAAAGCCCAGGAATTAAATAGGACGATCTGGACGTCGTGACAATCTGACAATTGGAATTTCTTTTGAGTAAGCGGATGAATTCGTACAAACGAGGTTTTTGTTCAAGCAGTGTATCGATGTTGTCCATAACAATAACGACTTTCTCCTTAATATTTCTCAACCAGAGAATCAGTGATTGCTTTGGGTCATCTTCATGATTAACACCAGCATCAAGGCAAAGTTGTTGGACCATTTCGTCTACAGTGGTTGCAGTACTTAAATGAGAGAAAACAACTGGAAACGTATGATCTTTACTGAGCAGATGCGACACCTCGACCGCAATTGCAGTTTTACCAAACCCTGGTCCGCCAGAAATACACACAACGGCATTTTCTCCGTCCTTTAAAAACGAAACAACTTTTCGAATTTCGGCTTTTCGCGCAGTAAACATTGGCAATTTATCTGGCAAGCAATTCGTTGGCTGTCGTTCCTCATTCCGACGACTGTTCATCTTGGCGAGATCATCACGAATTTGGCCAATGCTGTTACGTATTTCATGAATATCGTCAGGTATGGCACGAAAACACTTCAATTCGTCCGCAAAGTTATTGAATTGTTTATTAATGTTCTCTTTAAGACGCTTGAAATCAAGAATTCTTTGAGAACATTCATTCAATGCACATTCCAGTTTCTTCAGCTTTTGTTCATGTTCTTCTATCGCGCTTTTCTCAGATGAATGCTCAACTTTTATTCTTGCAATTTCTTCTTTAATGTCGTTTAACAAGTACCGTTGTAACAGCAGGCTTTGCAGTTCACTTTCAACAACTTTAGTGATTCCGATGTCTTCAAAGTATTTAAGATACCCCAAGCATTTTCCGTTCTCTACATTAGGAGCATTAGGAGACACATTCTCCAGATCTTCAAGAAAGTCGCGGGCGATCAAGAAACTTTCGTCTTTTTTGTCATCAGTGAATTCTTGTTGTGGTGCATGTGCCCAGATATTTCTAACTTGGGAACGAAGTTTCCTTACAAGATCGACGTTCACTCGAGTTTTACCAAGAAATGCGTCATCCTTCATCCATTCAAGCACGTTGAGAAGGGACGAAAGATCGGTAGATTTGGCATCTTTTACGGTACTTTGGTTAGCTCCAAGTGCAGGCATAAAGAATTTCGCGACCTCCCAGTGATCTTTAGACCATTTCGCGCTGTTGCAGTTTTTATGCCATGCGGGATTGTTACCTTTTTCATGCGCCACTTTAAGCTCCATGTACCAGCATTTACACGATTTACATAGATCAATAGCCTTGACCTTCTGATTGCAATTTTCAGGGCTTCTGCATATGCCAATAGCGAGCAATTCATCACACAACTTTACGTGGAATGCTTGAACTATTTCATCAACGTATGCAGAAATTGGTTTCTGAATAGAATGAATTATTTCGCCTACAGTCAGCCAGTTACCATGTTCTTTTGATACATCTATTTGGAAACCTTTACAGCAAAAAAAATATCTGATAAATAATTTGGTTTAAATAGATAGTTACGTTGATTTTGAGTCTAAAAATGCAAGTAATCACACTGTAGTTTGAATGCCCCCTCTTTCCCAAAGGGGGGCATTAATGGGGGAAGGGGGGGGGGGGGTGAAAAGAAATGTGCCGTGAAGATGGCTGAGCAAAATGTGTTTTTTTTCAAAATGCAGAAAATCAAGACTAAATTTCAGGCCTTTCAGGGGAATTTTGGGTGCTCAAAAATTTTGGCACAGATTGACTGATATGACTTGACATACAAACAGTAAGCTTTAATAATTCCATGCCATTTGCCAGCGTTAACCTGACAAATTTTACTCCGGAAACAGTTGCCGTAAAGGCTGGGCAGAGGGGGCAGTGTGGTGGTGGAACGTGGAAGGGTGGATTTGATCCTTTTCCGAACTATGTTAGGGGCCATTAACAAAGGATGTCCGG